CAGCTACGCTTTTTCTTGCTGTGATAGTGGTGGCTTTCATGTTGCAGGTTTGCTATTTCAGAAAATTGGTCTTCTAGAACACATGTAAATATGGCAGTATTTTCCTGTGCCTGCAGATAGCAGAAAAAAACTATCTTGTACAGCCCCTATTTGATCTTGATAACGAAGAGTGTGGAACATATTTAGATGTGAACATCTTAAATCCCTTAGCCTTGAAACAATTTCTTACCAAGAAATAACTTTTCGAAAGATAAAATGTGAAAGATTTTTTATTTTCTGCAATTAAACTGTTTCAATTTTTCCAGAAGAGACCTCTGTTTATCATGGATGGTTCTTAATTGTTAGTTCTGCTAACCGTGCAGGAGGGCACTTCTAACTACTTTAAAGGACTCATGCTCATTCTTTGCTATCTGATAGTAGCAGCAAGTTTCTTCGTGCATGCAGACATTGATGCAGTCAGTAAGTTATTCTTCCCTTCTACTGTCATTTGGTCAAATGGAAGCTCAAGTACTTTTGATAAATTTTATACTTTGGACATGGTTTTCAACTCTAATTTTTTTTCATTTTTTACTTGCACTAAATTGATCCATTGTATCATATTTACCATTGTCTTCAACCTACATGCAAATATAGAATGTCAATTTTATTTCACGTAACTTTTTAACCAGTGAAACTGCCACCACAGTTACGCATACACAAATGATGTACATAACTTGATCTACATGTGTTTTAGCAGTGGACAAACCCCACAAAAAGGGAGAATAAAGGAAGTAGTTCCATGTGGTGGACTGGCCAAGTCAACTGGTACTTTCAATGAGAAGGAAGATGGTTTTTCCCTGTAGAACTTATTGTCTAATAGAAGGTTCAAAGATATACATCTGCCTAAGTGAAAGGTTTGTTTTGTCCATGTATAGTAAGCTGAAGAAGTCCACTTTCTAATTTTAGCTCCATAGATAGTGCTGCTTGGTGCACTTCCTTGCAAAGACAGCCACTGGATACTTTCTTCCTCCTTGGCCAAAGGTTGCTTTGTAGGAAATGGTTGCATAGATGTTAGCTTTACATTGTAATTTAGAGATTAGGACTAGCACGTGCCAAATTTAGGAAAATCTGAAGAAATACACAGTAAAACTTCATCTAACTGAGATATTTCATGGGCTTGTTTGAATTTTTTTTTCAATTTTTGCCCACTTTTTGTCTGCATACCATCTGGCAAGGTCTATGTTAGATAGATGTTTATCTGCGGTCTATTGCACTGACATGAATTGTATTAAGCCATGTATCAGAAGAGAAAAATTATCTAAATTTGCTATTTCTCTACTCTCATCTCTTTCTCTCCCTTTTTCACATCCAAGTTCCACATTATTTCTCCTAAGGCACTACTTAGATGGGTAAGTAACTTGAGTTTTGACTGGATATTTAGGTGAATATTTAGCTCATTTGGTGAGACAGCAGAACTTGATATATGTTTTTACTATGAAATCAGCAGAGTAGCCGATGCACATCAGTGGAACCAAATAGTTGAGACAAAAAACATTAACTATAAGTAAATGATAACCTAGATAAACATTAAAATAGCTGCTTTTCAAAGTTCAGCATTTAACTTTTCAACAAATTTGAGTAATGTTTCTATCAAGCTCTGTTAATTAGAACTGATCTGAGATCTTTTCTTCTCTGCTTCTAGAAGTTTTGTCCTAGAATATTGGAGCCTGAGGTAACAAGGACCATATTCTTGACTTGAGGATGGTTATTACAGAAAGTGACAGTGAGAGGAAAATCTGGTTAAAACCAATTTCGTGATCTCAAATCTCATATCTTTGGTTCTTGTTTTCTTGTTCTGGAACCTGGAGGTGACTCTCCATGTGGCATGTGCCTGCAACTTGAACTGCTGGTATCTTACCATGATAAGGACAAAAGAGAAGTAAATCTTTTCAAACCAACCCATCGATTAAGATTTGCATCAGACCTGAAAGGGTCTTATTTTGCCTTAATAGTTTTCAATGTCTCATGATTCAGCAGTATTTGTTTCTAATACTCTGTTCTCCCACAGAACAAAACCATACCCAAAAAGGAAGACAAGCAGCGATCCTTTACATATCAATGTACACCACTAATGTGGCATCATCGATTCTCTAGCCGAAGTACATTAGGAATTGAACCATCAAAAGGACAATCAATCTTCCCTATCCTTCTCTATCCAAGTGTGAAAGTATTGAAGTTATGTCACACAGGATAACCAGGAGACCAGAATTTTGTCAACACTCAGTATTAAGTTAAAAGTATTAGCCTTAAGAAGAATTCAACGGTTATAATTAAATTGGATCATTAAACTGACTTTGAAAATAGATCCTTAATCTTCT